TGGTCCCAAAGACATGATTTCTGACGCCCGCGAGCCCAAAGCCACGACGACGAGCACAGGGCATGGTCCCCTCGTTCGAAATCGGAGAGCGGGGACTCGAAAACCCGCGAACTCCGGGTGGGAGTCGAGCGCTCTACCAACTGAGCCATGCCGTGCTCACATTTTTGAGGATATACTTTTGAATAAAAAAAAACTTAATTAAATAAAAATCTGATCTTTTTTTTTTTATATATATGATATTTTATTTTATTATTAGTCTCTTATTTACACATTTAACCAGTCGTTGACAATTGACTGATGATGATCGATCATACAGTAATCGCAGATAAAAATTGTATGCGTTTATTCTCTGTACGACATTGACACGACATTGAATCGTTAAAAATGAAGAAGACTCTGCTGCCAATCACATTTTGCTAAGAGGGAAATGGGGGAAGGGGAAAAGGGGAATGACAGAATGAATAGAGTTCTATATTTGCCACTTTTACAGTGTCTAGAGTTTCACGATTCAACGATGAAGAGGAGGAGACATGCAACTCATTCTATATATATATATATAGATATACATATGTATGTATGTACTATTATTATAACGATTGGATGGCATTGATAATTAAAAAAAAAAAAACAAAAAAAAAAATAGTAAAAGCTAACTAATAAAAAAATAAATTTTCAAAAATTTATATAACAGCATAGATTAAAAAAAAAATTAATTTCTTTTTCAAAGTACAAATTGCGCTTAACCCCTTAAGCAGCATTGATTTTGAAACAAAGAAAAAACGGCCAAATACAATCATTATTTTTTTTTTGCATAAAAACATAATTTTGAACATTGTTTTAACAAACAAAAAAATACAGAAATAATCAATATTTTTATGTTAATTTTGAATTTTGTTTCACATTACAGAGAGAAGAGCCAATTATTGCAATGTTACACATAAGTCGAGCTTTTTAATCTTTCTTTTCGAATTATACCATTTCGGAAAAAAAAAAAACGATTCTATTTCTTTGCTTTCATCACATTCTTATTTTCAATTGTCTATTATATTTGAATGTAAAAAAATCATAGAAATATAAAATAATACACCGCTCGTGTTAACTCGAGCGCGCAAAAATCGGCCGATTTAGGGCGCTCGAGTTAACGCTCGAGCGTGCTGCTTAAGGGATTTAAAATTTGTTAACAATAATATTTATTTCGAATTGCGCGTAATAATATCTCATATGATTTTTATTATTAATACGAATATCATCATTCATCCTAAATAATTATAATACGTTGCAACAAAAAAACAATTGCACGGGAAAATCATATATATATATATATATATATATATATAATTCTAATATAAAAGTAATATTTAACCCTTTCGCCACTACGGGCGACTATAGTCGTTCTACATAAAATGCCACTCACATACTACGGGCGACTATAATCGCTATGCATAAAATGCTGCGCGCATTGTACACTGTATAAATACATATGACGAACGATTAAGTTAATATGTTTAAATGTTATAAATATTTTAATTTGTGGAGTTTTTTTCTTTTTTTCAATAAACATCGTCAAATCAAATTCGGGTTGACGTATTACGCATAAACGCGGCCCGCTGTCGATTTTACTCGAGCACCGTGCACATTTTTGGCACGGTGGGCACGGTTAACGGAAATACCACGACGGAGAAGTCGCCTTTTCGTAGCGAAAGGAATTAAAATTGAAATAAAAATTACATTAAGTTGATTTTATCCTACAAATATTTACACATATCGATGTATTCTTTTCTTCTAGCGCAGATTTTGTGCAGGTACTTTTTAACCCTTTCCATTACTACAGACTTATACCATACTACGATTTGTATGTAGAAACGAATTGAACACTTTGTTGACCGGTCCCGAGTTAACTCGTGTTTCTGTGGCCGAACGTTGTTGACCAGTCACGAGTTAACTCGTGATACACTTTTTCTTCGCATCACGCTATTTTAAAAAGGAAAACGTAACGAAAATAAATATTACAATAATAACTGATTTTTTTTTTATCATACGAAGAAAAAATATTTCAAGTCTAATAATAAGTAAAATTTATTACAAATTACTTATATTGTTTATTAACATTTCAATTCAATTACGAAGTAATAGCCGGTGACATGAGATAAATTCTTCAAAAAAAAAAAAAAAAAAAATAGCCAGTCAACAAAGTGTGTTAATATGAAACAACAATGTTTTCTCTAAAACTTTGTTAATAAGGAAAGGGTTAAAGTGTTAATTAACAACAGTCTATTAAAATCTTTTGAATTCGTCAAATTTGGCTAAATGTCAATGTGTGATAATATCAATGAATGAATGAATGAATGAATTGAAATGAAATGAAATTTAATTGATACTTAATAAGATCGCATTAAATATATAATAATAATAAAAAAATAAAAATAAAAATAGTTAATAGCTACATTTTTGGTACATACATACGTACATACTTTTTTCTGGATTATAATCCATAGTGAAATATATATATATATATCTCGCACTATATTCGCACATAAGAGTTAGTATTAATTAATTAATTAATTAACTTATAGAATGACTGAATCTCATATTTACATATTCGATTAATATCATTGTGCATAAATGGACAAGATGTCATGTTCTAATTATTTACTAATATCAAGCGGTTTCTTTTGTGCTATGTGCAAATACTTAATTTTTTTTTTTTTTCTTGCAATAGTTTAAACACATGACTCGTAAAAGTATTTTATTTCAAATTGAATGAAAAATCCAATGATAATATATGGATGTAATGAGAGTTACACCTTTTGAGAAGTAATTAATTCTCAGTTTAACTTTCAAGCATAATATAATTGTTATTATTTTTTTTTTTTCATTTATAAAGCTCATGCTTATGATTCTTCTTCTTAATTACTATATCGAAGCTTAATAGTTTTCTCTCTCTCTCTCTCTCTATCACACTCTCTTTCTGTTACGCGTTCGTATATTAGAACAAGAGCCCACGACAGCCCAGACCTTCGTTATTTTATAAAAGCTGAAAGTTTTTCTGTGCATGTCCCCATATACAGGTAAAAACGACCAACGATTATAGAGTTTGGGTTGTGGTTATTTGGGTAAGATGTGTCTGGCAAGATGTAAAAACCATTAAAACTGTCCGGCTATTGAGGTAACATTTGTTTATAGGTCCCCAAGTAACATGTATAAAATTTAGCTTTTATACTATAACGAAAGTATAATTAAAATTTATTCAAATTTCGGGGTGTCTGACAGAGGGTAGAAACTCTCATAAATGTCCAGCAATTGATGACAAGATTACTAAAGTTATTTCGAAGAAAATATACAACAAATTGAGCTTTATAATTTAACGAATTTAAGGTACTATTTTAAACACCTTTACTACCTGTTAACCCTGCCCAAGTAACCACAACCCAAACTTTATAATCGTTGGTCGTTCTTAACTGTATAGGTGACATGCACAGGAAAAACTGTCAGCTTTTATAAAATAACGAGAAGGTCTGGTTGTCGTGGGCTCTTGGGCTATTTGTTTTGTTTCTTTTTTTTTTATAAGTTACATATTTAAAAAAAAAAAAAAAACAAAGAAAAAAAATTAACGAATAAAAGACGAATATACGTTAAATCACATCTATCAATTGTGTCAGCTTTGCATTGATTGTCCCATGTATATAAATATTATACACATTCACGTATTTTTTTAAAAGAATGATTGATCGATTAATTCAATTCTATTCAAACTAATATAGAGAACAAATTTTAATATGGATAATTTATGATAATTTAAACAACAACACGAAATATTTGTCTCTATCTATCTATTTCATAGAACATTGAAAATATTTTCCTATTTAATTTTAATTATATATAATAAATACGCATTGCACTTTATCTTAAGATGCGCTAAACCTTTTCTTACTTTCGAGACATAATTATATATATATATATTTAAATATCAATGAAGAAATAAGAGAAAAAGCCCATCATCTATATAAACGCGACAAATAACCACCATGGTGTATTTAAGTAAATAGTTTAGATTATTATGACGATTTAAATTTGTCTGATATTTGTTTTTTTGTTTTTGTTTTAAGTATATTCATTCTTTATCTGATTTCTTGACTTTCTCTAATTCTATTGTATACAATATATGTATCATCTGTTTATTTTGTTATTTTTTCTTTTCCTCTTTTTTTTCTTTTCTTTTTTTTTTTTTTTTTTTTAGTAACATATCAGTATTTAAGTATAAAATCTTATTTAAATTTTTAAAAACAAAATTTCTCTGTACATATATGAATTTGTATCAGGCGAAATTGCACTTCAGCCTTTCATTTTCATTTTTGTTTTTTTCTAGTTTCACTTACTTTTTCCTTACTTCTTTTCTCTTCTCTTCGTAAATATTATAATCGAGATTTTACATACACATATATCGTGTTTTTCAATTAAAAGCAAGTTACATTTTTGGTACTATGTTTAATAGGTGAACTCGTTCCATCTGTTTCACTATGATCCATACCAAATGCTACCGAATTCCAAATGGCTATGTCACTATGATCATCCTCCTCGTTAAGAATAGTACACATCATTCTATCATCATAAAGGGAAAATCTAGCCGAAGATTGTGCACGACCACGAATCTTTCTTACGGATGGCGGTAAATCACCCGGAGTTTTAATTCTCATATTGGGATCTTTCAACACATTGACGTTAGATCTAACGTTAAAGACTTCGTTGAATTTATCAATACTCTCCTGCCTACTAAGATTGTTCTCTCCTTTTTTATTTTTCAAATTGACTAATGGTAATGTCGAGGGTCTAGCATTACTCGTTCCGTCATTGTCATACGCGTTGTTACCAATTTGCACTACTACGTTCTTATCATTTTTAACCATTGGCGTGGTAGAAGTTGAAGTTTTACCAATAATACCATTAACGTATTTACCACCAGGTGAGATGGTCACGTTAGTGTCGACAGTTTTAATTTGTACATTTTGCTTTGACAATAAATTAGATTTCGAATCTTCCCTGTCTATCGGATATTTGTTATATGGATGCATCTTCTTATTGACGAGTAATTTCTTTAAATTTGGCCAACCACCGAATATCTTTTTACGTGGACTTTCTTGAAGATAATTGTCGTGCATATTAGTTTGTTTACGTTTATTGTACGACGTAGCACCGTCATCTGATATGACATTTTGTACGTACGGTATTGGTGTAGCTGGTCTAAGTTGTGCCAATTGTGTCGTATGTTGACCTAAGTAATCATGCGAAACGAGACCTTGCGCTTCCGTTACTACCTTATATTGATCATTGCACGCATGTTTCAACGATTTGTCAACTAAAACGTTACCGTTACATCCTAAATCCTCTAATGAATCAGATTGTAACATCAAATTTCTCTCCATGCAAGGATTTCTCCCTTGATAAGGTTGAAGAGTTTGTGTATGATTATACACAGCTACCTCATTCGAATTTTTAACTAAAATTAAGTGTAATAATAATAATAATAATGTTATTACAGTTGGATCAAAAAATAATTATAAAATGATTGATAATTTTACTTACAACTATGTTCGTGAGCAACACTATCCGATGGGGAAAGTGTAACCAAATTATCGACCATATTGCTCTCGTTTGTAGATCCATCTTGACTCATGTGCATTGCTAGTTGAACAACATGGATATTATCGTGATGTGAAGTTTCGCTATAAAGGCTATTCGTGGTTGAAGGCACTAAGGCACAGTGAGAGTTCACCATAGGACTCCCATCGGTAAAGTATGAAGTTACTGTAATTGTTAAAATATATTGTAATATTTTTTAATAACATAAATGTTAACAAAAAAAAAAAAAAAAGAAAAAAAGAACCATTTCCTACTTACTACGATGAGATTGTAATTCCGAAAGACGTTCTTCTATACATAAAGCTGTCAAACGTGCTTCAGCATCTGCATCCCAACAATCTTCCATAGTTTCCTTTATAAGACGTACTCCTGGTCTATCGATTAAATTTCCTTCTAAAAGTGGTCTTGCTTTTTTACGCGATACTAAAATTTGCATTTGTTCAAATGTAGGATGCAATCCTAAACAAAAGAAGAAGAAAAAAAGAAGACATAAGCAAATATAAATAAAAACACAAAAAAGAAAACAGTGAATAATCTAAAAATATCAAATGTTTCATTCACGTTCGATCCATACAAACCAATTTCATTTTCATATGGTTGCTTATATTGAGGCACCTCTGACCCAGGAATGTAAATGTCGGAACACCTTGAAACTAATTCCCACAAAACTAGGCCCATTGCATAAACGTCTATTTGTTTGAGAGAACTTTCGCAATCGCGTAAATTAACAGCACCTTCTAATACTTCCGGTGCCATATATCTCAAAGTACCAACCTATTTAAAAATTCAAATGAATAAATCTAATAAAAACTTCGATTAATATACATACATATTAAACTTAATTATTTTCTTACATCATTAATCGATTTTATTTCAGCATGTTGTTCTTCTCCGTTTGAGTAATATTTGGATCCAGATATTTGCACTGCTAATCCTAAATCACATATGCAACAGCTACCATCGGCTTTAATCAATATGTTTCTAGAATTGATATCTCTGTGAGCGATACATGGCTTGAATTTATCTGTAAAATTTATTATTTTTTTTATTTAAACAATTATATATACATATATATACACAATACAAAATTAAAAATATTTGTTTACCTCCTTTACGAATATCAGTGTGCAAATATGCAAGTCCTTTGACTACGGAAAGTCCCATTTTACAGAATGTCAACCAGTCAACTGTATGCGTTTGTAAGAAATCTGTTAAAGTACCACCTGGTGCAAAGCTTAATACCAAAAGATATTCCGTACTATCTTCCATGCTTATTCTTTCATCTACACCTGTAACCATTAATATTCAGCATTAATAAAGAAAATAAATTGTATATCATATTAATCCTTAATACTAACCATAGTAGCTTAATAGAGATGGATGTTCCATGAATGGTAAACAGTAAGTATCTCTTTCATTTTGAAAATAATTACGATAATGAGAAGGGAAAATTTTCACAGCAACATCTTGATCTCCCATACTACCTTGCCAAACTGAACCATATCGTCCTTGTCCTACAAATTATTAACAATTTATTATATAATAAATGTACGAATGATTATAATTATATGAATTAATGATATAATATTTTATAATAAAAAAAAAACAAAGAACCTACCGACAATTGTAGTCAGTTTTAAATGATCAACAGTATAAGTACCAGTCCTTAATGCTGTACTATCCATAAATTGGTCATTGTATGACATTGGTTTTCCTAATCTTGCTAAAATATTGTTACGGTATGTTCGATATATCATCATAGCTATTGTACATATCACCAATAAAGTGCAAACTAGTGTGCTTACTACGATGAGTAACCATCTTTCTGAATCTGACTGTTCTAAATATTCGGTTGCTATAAAAATAATCATTAATAATTTTTCAAGTATAATTTGTATTCATAAAAAAGAAAAATATATAGGAAAACTTACTTGCTAGATTTTTCTGTACTGGTGCAGAATTGAAAATCTTATTATCGGAATACAAAAGATTATTATTAGTAATATTTAAATTACAATAATCTCCATGACAGCAACAAAACTTAGTATTATTTAAAGCCTTGGTAGAACGTTGCAATGCAACACATTCGGTATTTTCACATTTTTGTTCACCAGATTGTTTCCAGCAGCCTTTCAATAAAGAAAAGAAAAAAAAACAATTAAAAATTAAAATAATTAAAGTAATATAATATAAAAGAAATAAAAAAAAAAATCAATCAAATAAATACCTTGTGATAAAATAATGATCTCTGTACCATTAGCAGTCTTATTTTCTTGCCAGAGTGCATGACAAAAATTAATACATTTGTCAAATTTAATATCATCGTCAGCCTGTAAAATGTAATTTCATATAAAAAGAATCTATCATTTGATCAAAGAATCATTTAAAAATTCTGTTGACTGTTCAACGTTTTCTAAAAATAAATAGTTAAATTCACTTACTGAGATACGAATTACATGATTGTTGTTATTGGATAAATCTTCAACAGGCAATCCTGCTGAATTTAATTTCAAGGAAATATGTTCATTAGTAGTTTTTTTTCTACTCGCACATATTCTACTGGCATAAATGGGGGCTGAACTTATCCCATAGAGTAGTGTGACCAATACGACTGATACAATGGCTCTCATTGTGCTTTAGCAAGCCAGCTCAAGTTGGCCACTTCAGCAGAAGCAATGCTTCTTAAGAATTGCCATCTTCTTTCACCATAGCGATATATTGCACTAACCATAGGCACTCTTTGTTCATCTGTTTATCAGACATTGGTTTTTTTTTTTTTCTTTTTTTTATCTTAGTCCAATTAATAATACAATTATTAGCTTTAACATTATAATAAAACATAATTGAAAGAGTTAACATTGTAAATCAAACATATTTCATGAATATTATAAAAAAACAAAAAAAAATGTCAAAATATTCTTTAGATATATTTTATTAAATATGTATAATATTTTTAAGAAAGATAAAAAAAAAACAAATACTTCAACCATTCATATTTAAAAGTATATTTTTCATTTTGTTTTTTTTTTTTTTGGAACAAAAAAATATAAAAAATAAACATAAATTTTATTTCAATTATGATAATAATTTAATTCTTTATTTAAATCAGCAAACAAGTGCATAACAAAATTTCGTATTATAATTAACGAATTTTTATTTTTTTCAATAATATTATTAGAAATGCATAAAAAAACAAAAAAAGATTCCTTTTATAAATAATTACAAGTTAGTTAGTTTGATATGACAAGAATTAACGTCTCTACTGCGCGTGTGATGTGCGTGAAACGAAAATTTGTAAATAAAATATGATAGAGAGAGAAAGATAGAGATAGTTAAAGAAAGAGAGAGAGACAGACAGAGACAGAGATAGAGAGAGAGAGAGAGAGAGAGAAAGAGACAGAAGTACAAATGTCATGTTATTTAAATGACGCGACGTGTATTAAAAATGATAATGCTTACGTTTTGACCGATAATCTTTGTAAAATGTTCATGTATTCTCTGTAAGTTCCTGACGCCGTGATTAAGGGCAACATTGCACGATTTAATAAAACCGAAGAAAAAAAAAAAAATTGTTGATTATTATAAATCTATTTATTATTGACGTTTGAATGTATTATTATACTCGTATGAATCGCGATTAAATCACGCATTAATAAATGCGTCGAAATAATACTAACAAAGCGAAACTCATAGATAAGCAGTGAAATACGCGTTAAACGTTCCCCGTTGTGTGTTTGTAAGAGTATTAAGCCATACGACACATAGTGAATACATAAAAGAATGTCGCGATATACTATTGGCAGCACCCTCGCACTCAACCTCTGCCCTCTGATGTCAAAACCTGATACTACTATGAGACACTAACGCACCTACCGGAGAAAATAAAATTCACTTAAATTTTTTACCTTTATCTTTAAAGAATTGTTATAATTAATTACACATTTTAATTTATAGTTAAGAATTATTTTTGTTTATGTTATTTTAATAATAGATCGAAAGTTGGATCATGATTTTGAATATATATACATATATTTAATTAAAATGATTTATAATCAACGCGTAAAAATAATTGAAAAAAAAAAAAAAAACAAGAAAAAAGATATGATGGCGTTGTTGTTGATTAGCGACTGACGTCATCTACGTTCGAATACGGAAACCATTTTGATAATGATCAAACGTATATATGTATTATATATGTATATGTTTAAATGCATAAATACACAAACACTTGTTACATTTCTTTAAAGTTCAATCATTGAATATTCAGTATGATTATTAAAGTAATAATTTATAGTCAATCCGACATTTTAGTTTACGCGCTTTAATATATAATAATAGAGGAACGGACGAATTGGAACGCCGCGTTGCACCGTGTGTGTGTGTTTTCGATCTATCGTGCAAATGGCGGCTCTCGCGATGTTTTCTCAACGATTACTCAAATATTAGATATAGTTATTTGAGATTATAGATAATCAGTGTGATACATACGTACTATTGGTATTTCATATTTGACAAGATTTATTCTAAACATGGTAAAGTTACTTAAAAAGTTCTTTGCCGGTGATAAAGTTTTTGCAAAAGTTCGAGGTTACCCGCCATGGCCAGCTAAAGTGAGTATCATCTAATTTATCTTAAAGTAATTTTTATGAACTCACGTTATATTTAGCAAATATAACGTAATAAATATCATCGTTTAATCGACCTTATTTTTCTATCCTATACGATATCAATAAGGTTATTAATAAATAAACTGATTAATTTATTATAGTCCATTTACAAATCATGTTTACATAAATTCATTTCTGCATATAACCAAAATCAAATGTTGTTGTTTTTTTCTTTTTTTAACAATACTTTTAAAGGAATTTATTTCAATCATTACAGATTGAAAATATTCGTTTACGATACGTACCATTTTAATAGAAATGAATAATTCAATTGCATATGTCTTACCATATAGATTATTTTTGTACCATGTGTTTTATTGATTCTACTTACAGGTTGAAAAGGTTTCAGACCCAAATTCTAAAAATGCCAAATATAGCGTTTACTTTTATGGTACGGGTGAAACGTAAGTAATGATAGAACATTTTTCTTTTTTTTTTTTTCAATAAAATGCATAATATACTTGTTGCATAAGTTAATACAAAATATATATAACAAAAACCAATAAATTCAAATTTGATTTCAAGGGCTGTATGTAAAGTCGAAGAGCTCTTTACATACATGGAAAACAAAGAAAAGTTTGGTAACAAAGCGTTAAGGAGAAAATTCTTTCATGAGGGATTACAACAACTCGAGGAAGAACTTAAAAATGAAAGAAATAAAGATGCTGATGCAGACGATTTACAAGGTAATTTGTAATGATAAATTTTTCACTATCAATGTTTGAAATATTTGATCAAAAATAATTCTATTATTGTAGAATCGGATATGGTGGAAGAAGCAAGTACTAAAAGAGCAGATGTTGCATCAGAATTACCAGCAGCTAGTGCAGCGGATAGTGACTTAGAAGCAGGATCATTGATTATTGATGAAGGAGATAAAAAAAAATCACTTAAGAGAAAACCATTGTCTACATCTAATAATCCTGTAAGCCATTTGTTTTATTTCATTTGATTTTAATATTATTTTTATAACGGAGACTAGAAGTCGTATGTTTTACTATAGCAATATTGTTTAAGATGTGCAATTATTGCAATGCTTTGTCTCCTATAGAAAATTAGGATCTGCCGACAAACATTTGTAAAATTAAAATTGTTCGTGCGATTGCTCCTTACATTGTATAATATATTTTTTTTTTTTTTTAAGTAGATATTCTTTGAAAAACAAATTATATTATGAAAAACAATGTTATAACATATTTCTCAAATCAATTAGGAAACACCAGAATTAAAAAAGAAACGTGGAAAGACAAAGTCATTACCTACAACGACAAGTGACACATCAAAACACGAGAGTATTCTTGAATCACATGGAGAGGAGTCACCTAAAGAAATTGTAAGCCGCAGTGGACGTAAAATAAAACCAAAGCGTTTTGCAGATTTCTCCAGTTCCGAAGAAACAGAAGGTACTTATATAAAATCTTCTAATAAACTAAATAAATAAATATTATTATTATAATATATTAATTATACAATTTGTAATATTTGTATTATAGAACATTCTTCGAGAGGACGTAACAAAATTAAAAGTGATGAACCTAGTGAGCATCTATCGTCAGCTGGATCATACAAGAAAAAAAGTATCACTACAGAAAGTAAGTATTATAAAAGAGACATTTAATTAGAATATTTATTTACATGTTTATATTATGTTAAAGAGAAAAACAGTATCGGTGAAACATCATTGATGGAAGATACCGTCGTCACTAATCCAACCTATTCAGAAACATCAGGACGATTTCTTCTTGCAAGAACATTTGCCGGTGAATTTGTTGGCATTAAATTAGATGTAGACAGACCTAAATCATTTGACAGTGAAAAAGCTAGAGCGCAATGGGATTGGACAACAGCACGTAATGCTATGAAACTTAAAGCACAATTAGAGAGTGGTGAAATTTTACCTGAACAAGTTAAAGAATCATTAGATTTTAATGTACATGTGCCAGAGGATGAGAAACGTATTTTAACGAAGGACGGTGCAGTTCATAGAAAAACTTACAAATTAAGGTATCCCATTAGATTCGATCAATTGCAACAACACATTGATTTAATTATACAATTATTTATTTTTATTCTTTTTTTTGTCAGTAAATTTCATTGCGAGAATCGTGTGACGTTTTCTCGCGATAACAATGGCATAGAGAAATTTTTTTTTGTTGCATCTTATAGATGGCTTCGTATAGAAGCTCAGTTGTTACAATTGGATGCTCAAATAAAATCTAATCTTGGGTTGGATCGTGCTAATACAGATAAATGTTTAGAAGCGATGGATGATATATTGGGATTATCCATTGATCCATTAATGCTCAAAAAACATCCACATATTGTCGAAACTGTTAAAAGGGTAAATATTTGCAAACTTTACTAGTTACAGTTTTGTTTCAATATTTTATAAATTATTTCTTTTTTTTTTTTACAGTTAAGGCGATATATTGGTAATCTAAGTGATTGGAAATTGAGTAAAGAAGAAGAGGTAAAAATATCATCAATATTACATATTATTAAACAAATTAATAATTCATTTCAATGAAATAACTTTGAACAATTTATTTTTCTTTTTTTTTATAGACCATTTTCATACAAAAAGCAGAACAAATAAGGCAAAAAGCAGAACACATATACAACAAATTTAAGGTGAATTAATTTGTGATTAATTACATTTGATTGACTTACATTGGAAAGAAAAATAATAAGAAAAAAAAAATCTTCTTTCTTTTAGGCTATGTTCACAATACCAGAAGGACAGTCTTTTTGGCAATCATTTTCTGATCAAGTGGACCATTTCAAGGAATTAACGAAAGATATGTCGGAAGAAAAAGTTTTCTCTTTAATGTCTGATCCGACCTGTCCAGGTATTCTATTATTTTGTTGATATTCTTATAATAATTATTAATATAATTGATGAGTGATAAGTGTAATAATTAATTACAGATGCACGTATGTCAGAGGATTCAACTGTCGGTGACGATAGTGGCAGTCCAGAAGATACAGACTTTAAATTGAAATTAGATCCGGACCAAGTGCCTATCAAATTGGAAAATCCTAAAGATTCAGACAGCAGCAAGTAACATACGTATATCTCGTATGTAATTAAGGTGAAAATGAGTACGTTTTGTTTTGTGCAGTATACTCTATGATATACAAGACAGCAGAGTGTTTTGCAACTGATTTAAGGGAAGGGAGTGGCCTTTGCACGTTTGAAAAATAATCTATTATGTGGATAAATTTTCCTACTGCAAAAATTATTCTATGAGTTTCTTATGACATTTCTAGCGAATTCCCCCCTTTTTTTTTTTCTTTTTCGGCGTTATTAAAAGACAAAAAACAAAAAACCAAAAATAAGAGAACAAAATTATTACGTACGTGCACGTGTCAGAGAATTATTATTTACAATTGCAAGTTGGTAATGTAAAAAAAATTACACTCATGCTGCCCCCAACGACTAAAGTTTCATTGACACAAATTATACGACTTAGAAAAATGAAAAGAAAAAAAAGAAGAAGAAGAAGAAAAAAAAAAACAAAGATCTTTCTATAATAATAACATCATGTCATTGTTGTTTTTCTGCCTTTTGCGTATAAATTGTTATTTATCTTGACGACATATATATTTTGACCGTACCAAAGGAGAATTATTTTCACGTTATAATCGTTCGTATTAAAAAGAAAGACCACGATTATCATCATCTTGACTTCGCAAATAATGTTTCTTTTCTTTTCTTTTCTTTTTTTTTTTTTCTTTTCTTTTTAAACTATCGATGTAAATACAGGAATACTTATTTCATGTTATTACACATTTACATGCTATAAAACCGATGATTAATGGCAATGAATAATTCAAAAATATTATACAAAATAAAATCTTGTATTATGATATGCAACGCAGTTGAATAAAATCGATATTAATTATCGATTTTATTTAACGAGATATAACGATTTTAAAAAGTATTTTTGAAATTAATGTTTCTATTGCACTTTAAAGGCAAATTTACGTTGTCCGAGCAATAAGAAAAATAAGTGTTTTTTTTTTTTGTTTTGTTTTTTTTTTCTCTAACATAATGCCAATCTCAATTACGTTTCTTGATATATATATATACACACACACGTATATTTTACAATATGTTATATAAAAAAAAGAGAAATATTCTTGCAAATAGTTATTAGATATTATGCTGAATTATTGTTTAGTTGTTAGAAGAGAGACACACAAATTAGGATGCGTAGCAATAAATTAGTGATTTGTATGATGAAAAAGCATCAACGTGAAATATTACATCAAAGTGTAAGTTTTGAATGTGGGTAAGTATTTTAAGTTTATTATTATATTACTCTTATTAACAAAGATAATTATTTACTTTTTTTATGTGAGATAAAATTATTCGTCGATTTATAGAATTATTATTAATTAAGATAAGGAAAAATTTGTTAAGATAAAAAGAAAAAAAGAAACAAGGATAATTAATTAATTAATTGGTTCATGTTAACGCAAAATTTGTACGTCGTAAATGAACATGTCTTTATAAGAATTTCAAACTTCATCTTGTTAAATACCTATCCAATTTGTTTATTAAGAATCCGAAATGAAATTCAAAAATGTGTTAAAAAATTGAAAAAAAAAAAAAGAAAGTCATTTACAATTAGTTCAATTGAATCGTTCATTAAAGAAAATTTTGTAAAATTTCGATTATCTTATAATTATATCTTTTTATTCGTGAGAATAATATTAACAATAATAATAATAATAATAATAAATGCTATATAAAAAATACAAAATTGGATTTAGTTTGAAATAAGAGTTGCAAAGATATTGGTAAAAATTAATTTAATATAAAACAAATATAAATATACAAAAGGAGTAGGAATTTTTTTTTTTTTTTGATCAAAGGCTTATAATAAGTTACCAAAAAAAAAATAAACAAAAAAAAAATCAAAATTTTGTCCACGTTTCACAAATTTTTGTACAAAATAGAAATTAATTCAAATTTAATAATAATAATAATAATAATAATAACACATATCACAAAAATTATAATTTTGAAATAATGTTTATTTTAATAAAAAAAAAAAAAAAAAAAAAAATTAATTTGGCTCGTTTTTTTTTCTACAAAAAAAAAAAATATATATATATATTCATTGTATAATTTTTATTTTAAACAAATAAAAAAAAAG